CTCCTCCTCGTCCTCCTCCTCCTCCTCCTCCCACGCGCTAAACAAAAACAGGGCGGAGCTTTTTCGTCGTTTTCGGCCTCTGGGGGCCCTTGCCGGCGTACCAGGCCCTGGGACCGTCAGAGAACGACGAAGAGCGGGTCCCGGGGAGAGGGTCCAGACTTGCAGGGATCGCGTGTTGGAAACATCCGGACATCGCGTGTCTGAGTCTGTATATACGCAACAACTTCTGGAGGTCCGCGCGAACTTCTTGGATCGGCTGCTGGACCTCCCTCCCTGGCGCGTGCGGAGCGCCGCCAGCCAGCGCCCCCGCCTCCTGAGATCCAGAGATCCGACGCTCCAGCAAAAATCGGAGCGGGCGGTTTTCGGCTTATTTCGGCCTCCAGGGACCCGCGCTGGGCCTCGGGACTGTCAAAAAACGAGTCGGGACGAAACTACCGGCGCTGGGGAAGCGGTCTAGACCTCTGGGTCCCACGCATCGAAACAGTTGGAGCAGCCGGATGTCTGGGGATTGGGAACCGCCCAGAACCTCGATCCAGCCCTCCACCCTCCCACCAAGGAGCCGGCCGTGGGGCTGAGGTGGCCCAGTGCGTGTTCCGGCCAGCAGAAGAGGGGAAGAAAGGGTCCCCCTCGCCGCTACGGCTGGACGCGGCTCGAGAGTCTTCTCCTGTTTCGATCGCGAGAGGGATCGGGGGGGGTGATTTGGAGCGGATGTGTCTTCGTTATCCGCTCCCCCGTCTCGACCGACTTTCTCAGGGCCCATCGAGCGCAGAACCCCCAAACCGCCTCCAACTCCCTCGATCCTGGGGGACCTACTCGCCAACATTTTAACCACATCCACCGCCCGCTGGGGTCCCAGGACGTCAGTCCTGCAGGCGGTGGATAGGTATCTCTCTCTATTCATGTATGTATGTTTATATCATATATATATATATGTGTATGCACACACTATATATACGTGGTCGCCCCTCCAGTCTCATACCTTTCGCTGTTCTGCGTGTCGTTCCCTCGTCTGTTCGTTCTTCACCGTGGGCGTTAGTGTCCCCTTCTCGTTTGGTCTCTTTGTCTGTCTGCTCCCTTCACGGCCTTCCATCCTCTCATTTCTACTGGGCGGAGATCTCCGCTCGCCGTCCCAAGGGGAGGCCCGAAAAAGAAGGGGGAAAAAGGAACACTCGCCAAACACGGGTGTTTTCACAGGAACAAAGAGGACAACAACTCCGCCTCCGAGGGGGGGGGAGGAGGAACACAGGAAATACCTCCTTTCCTTTTTCCCAGGGGGGAGGGAGCAGGAGGAGGAGACGGATGTGGAGGAGGAGGAGGTGGAGGCGGAGGAGAGGGAGGAAGGGGAGGCCGCCGCGGGAACGAGGAGCGAAGAAGAGGGGACAAAAAGGACACAGGAAAAAGCTTGCGTCTTCACAGGACAGAAGAGGAACGCACTTTGCCCCCGAGGGCGGGGAGGAGGAAGCAGGAAACAACTTCTTTCCTTTTTCCCAGTGGGGGGGGGAGCGGGAGGAGGAGGCGGACGTGGAGGAGGAGGTGGAGGCGGAGGAGAGGGAGGAAGGGGAGGCCGCCGCAGGAACGAATGGCGAGCTAGAGGAGAAACACAAGAGGAGCAATCTGAGAACACTTATCGTTGTAGCCTTACAGAAAGAACAAGGGGAAAGCAAAGCATCACCCCCCGAGCGAAGAGGAGAAAACACGCCAATTCTGATCCCTTCGCCTGCGGAGGCGTGGAGAGGAACGAGGAACTCTCTCTCTCTCTCTCTCGCTCTCTTTTTTTTCTCCCCCGCGCTTGGAGGGTGACGGTTTTCTCCTCTCTCCCCATGCGAAGCCGCAAGTTTTTTTCCCATGTGTCATTCTCCCCTGTTTTTCGCCCTTCGTTCCTGCGGCGGCCTCCCCTCCCTCCTCCTCCTGCTACTCCGCCTTCGCGTCCTTCCTCCCTCCTCCGCCTCCGCCTCCGCCTCCTCCACATCCGCCTTCTCCTCCTCCTGCTCCCCTCCTTCCCAGTGGGAAGGAGGGGAGATGTCTTCCTCTTTCTTCCCCCACCGCGCTTGCAGGTTGAAGTTGTTGTTACTCTGTTTCCCCTGTGGAAACACACGTTTTTTTAAATATGTTTCTTTGTTTCTTCTTTTTCGTTCTTCGTTCCCGTTGCGGCCTCCCCTTGCTCCTCCTCCTCCGCCTCCGCCCCCCTCTCCACATCCGCCTTCTCCTCCTCCTGCCCCCCAGTGAGAAAAGGATTCCGATTGAACGCCTCCACAGAAGGATTCCTATTGAAACCTTCCGCGTAACGATTCCTATTGACATCCTCCACAATAATTTCCGAACGACATCCTCCACAGAAGGACTCTTCCTGAAACCCTTCACAAAAAGGATTTCGATTGAACTCCCCCACAGAAGAATTCCGATTGAAATCCTCCACATAAGGATTCCGATTGAAGTCCTCCACTGAAGGGTTCCTATTGAACTCCACTACAGCAAGGATTCCGAATGAAATCCACTACAACAGGATTCCTGTTGAAACCCTCCACATACGGATTCCTATTGAAACGCTTCACATAAGGATTCCTGTGGAACTCCTCCATAGAAGGATTCCGATGCAACTCCTCCACAGAAGGATTCCGATCGAATTCCTCTGCAGCAGCATTCCGATTGAAATCCTCCACAGAAATGGTTTCCGTGGAGGATTATATGGAGACGGAGAGGATGCACGGGTTGAGAATGCGCGAACGGGCGGCGTAGGAGGATGAGGCGGAGGCCATGGAGGCGGAGAGCAACTTAGGAATAATTGTTGGAGGTGCAAGCGGAGGAGGAGGAGGAGTCGGAGGTGCAGGAGGGTTGGAAGATGAACAGGCGGGAGGAGAACAACAGGAACTAAGTCTTTTCCTTCCTCCTCCTCCTCCTCCGCCTCCGCCTCCTTCTCCACCTCCGCCCCTCTCCTCCTCTTGCTCCCCTCCATCCCAGTGGGAAAGAGGAGAGGAGATGTTTTCCTCTTTTTTCCTCCTCCGCGCTTGGAGGTCGACGTTTTTTTTTTTTTTTTTTTTTTTTTTTTTTTTTTTTTTCCCCCCCACGTGACGACAACGTTTTTTTTCCGCATTTTACTTTTTGCCCCTCTTATTCGCTCTTCCTTCTTGTGGCGGCCTCCCCTTCCGCCTCCTCCTCCTCCGCCTCCGCCTCCTCCTCCACATCCGCCTTCTCCTCCTGCTCCCCCCCCAGTGAGAAAAGGATTCCAATTGAAAGCCTCCACAACAAGAATTCCGATTGGAATTCTTTACAACAGGATTCCTATTGAAATCCTCCACAGAAGGATTCCGATTGAATTCCTCCAACTAATGATTCCTATTGAAATCCTCCACAGAAAGGACTCATATTGAAATTCTCTACATCAGGATTCCTACAAACTCCTTCACATACGGATTCCGATTGAAACCCTCCACATAACGAGTCCTGTGGAACTCCTCCACAGAAAGATCCGATGCAACTCCTCCACATAAGGATTCCTATCGAATTTCTCTGCGGCAGCATTCCGGTGGAAATCCTCCACAGAAGGGCTTCCGTGATGGAGAAGGAGAGGATACACGGGTTGAGGCGCGTGAAATGGCGGCGTAGGAGGACGAGGCGGAGGGCATGGAGACCGAGAGCAACCTGGGACGAATTTTTGGAGGTGGAAGCGGAGGAGGAGGAAGAGGATGATGAGGAGGAGGAGGCGGAATTGCAGGGGGGTTGGAGGAGAGAAAGGCGAGGAGGAGGAGGAGGAGGAGGAGGAGGAGGAGGACCAGATTGGAGATTGGAGCGGAGACGAAAGGTATGATACTGAGGGAGGGGGCGAGCTATTTATGTTTATAGATATTAGCATATATATATATACATATATATATATATATATATACAAGTGGCACGTGTGTGCCCAGGCTCATACAACAAGCTGAAGGGGCGTTTGAAGCAGGAGTGACATGCAACAGCGAAGTCGCACTCGAGCGCAAGTGGGGTTGCCACACCTTGCGATGTGTGTACCAGGGCCCCCCAGGAAGCCTCAGGAGGCCCGACTTGGATACCAGAAGAGGCTCCAGGAGGCCCCAGGATTGTGAGTGTTGTGTGTGTGTGTGTGATGTGTGCTTTGTGTGGTGCGTGCTTTTTGCGTGTTGTCGGTGTTGTGTGTGTGTGTGTGTGTGTGTGTGTGTGTGTGTATGTTATGTTTGTCTAGCGTGTGATGTGTTGGGCGTGATTTGTGTCTCTGTGTGTGCATGTAGTTCTGAAGCCCCAGGAGGCCCCAGGAGGCCCCAGGCGGCCTCAGCAGGCCCAGGAGAACTCCAGGAGGCTCCGAGGCGGGGTCTGGGGTACCAGAAGGTCCAGAAAGCCCCAGGAGGCCCCAGGAGGTTCCAGGAGGCCCCCAGGAGGCTCCGAGGAGGGGTCTGGGGCTCGATTTTGGGAGGATGTCTCAGGCGAAACCGCCATTCTCTGAGAATCGGAGTCAAAATCATTGAAATTACCATGTGTTTTTGAAGGTTTTATGATAAAATGTTGGAAATCCTATGTGTTTTTGGACCCTGACGTCACGATCTGCGTGAGGGGTGCCACCGATTTTCAGAATTTCGAGGATGTCCCGAGCGAAACGGCCAGAAAAATCGCGAACGACGGACGCATTAATCGCCTCTGAGCTCTACTCCCTCGGAGAGGTGCGTATGAGAATATATATATATATATATATATATATATATATTACACCATCCGCCCCGCCGTTCGTGCCTCGGCGGCTCAGGACAAAATATCCGGGCGCACCTCCGCGGCAGCTCCCCGCCCAGTTGTGCAGGAGGGCCCCTCCTCCAGAGGTCAAGGTCGTGGACTTCGGCTGCGCCCTGCGGCCCGAAGGCAAGGGCGCGGGCCAGGGCCCGATCTTCGAGGACGATCTCAACAGCAGCATCCTGCCCCCCGAGTTCGGTTCCGACGACAGCTGCCCGTTCGCCTGCGACGTGTTCGCGGTGGGCCTCCTCGCAGCGGGGCTGAAGGTCGCCGGCGTCGCGCAAGGGCAGGGCCAAGCCATCTGGCGCTTAGATCCCTCGAGCTTCGCGGGGTGCGCGTCCATTCAGCCACGCGCAGAGGGGGGTGGGGGGAGGGGGGAGGGCTTGGAAGCAACCCTGCTTCTTAGAAGGCGTGGGCCTTATCTATAGATGTAAGGCTGGTGCCTTCTAAGAAGCAGCCTCCTTCTAAGGAGCCCTCTCCTCTCCCTCTACCCCCTTGTGCGCACCGCCAATCCACGGCGCTTGAAGACTGGGGTGGTGTGCCTTGCTCGTCTGCCGCGAAGTTCTGCCGTGTCGTTCTGCCCGCCCCAGGGCGCTGCCGGCGCCACGGGGGGCGGATGCGCCCTCCCCGTTTCAGCGCTGGGATGGACGTGCAAATGTCCACGAAGGCACTGAGCATTCACCACATGTCATCACAAGGCAACGCGAAGCAGCATGAGCATAGCAACAGCGCGCCATTCGTATACAATTACGCGCGCCCTTTGGTGGTTCCTTGTGGCCTCTTAGAGGCTTCTTAGGGGCCTCTTGGAGGTCTCTTGGGGGCATTTTGGGGCCTCTTGAGGGCTTCTTTGGGACAGTTTGGGGCCTCTTGGGGGCGTTCCTGGACCGTCTTGGGGCGCTCTTGCGCTGTTTGACCCCTGTGGAAGCGGGCTCGGGTGACTCGCGGCCGCCTTGTGACTCTCTTGGGGCCATTTTGGAGACTGCTTGGGCGAGTGAGGCGAATGAGGCGAGAGCGCTAAAATCCTCCCAAATCTGAATGCAACTTATTGATTCTGGCCTCAGGAGGCGCTCTTGTCTTGGGAATCCTCTTGGGCCGACTTGGGAGCCTTTTGGGCCCTCTTCGGGCCGTCTTGGGCCGTCCTGGAGCCGTCTTGGCGCGTATTCGGGCCACCCTGAGCCGCCCTGACGCCCTCTCTGACCCCGAAGAGATCCGCTGCTCGAGCCGATTTTGTGAAGGCCTTACAGCCAGTGCCGCCGACCCTGAATGGCGACGACGACGACGACGACGACGACGACGACGACGACGACGACGACGACGACGACGACGACGACGACGACGACGACGACGATGACGATCCAGCCGATTTCTCGATGTGATTCTGGCTGAGCCTGCAGAGCTCAGGGCCCCTGCCCTGGAGGCAGCCTTCCGCCCCCCCGGGGCTCACTTCGGCCGGGTGCGCGGCCCGAAGAGCGTCCCCGAGGGGCCCGGGTTCGATGGAACGGTCGTCCTGACCATGACCAACACCATCCTCCTCCTCCTCCTCCTCCTCCTCCTCCTCCTCCTCCCTCTCCTCCTCCTCCTCCTCCTCCTCCTCCTCCTCCTCCTCCTCCTCCTCCTCCTCCTCCTCCTCCTCCTCCCCCGTAGCCATTTTGGGTCAAGGCATTATGGCTCAAGCAGCATCGGGTGCATGCGTGGCGCTCGCACCCCATCTTCCTGCCAGGCAGTCTTGTTTGTGGTCCTCCTCCACAGAGTTTTGTGCCTGCCATGCAATCCGAAAGTCGTGCGTTCCACCAGTGCAGCAACCCGCGCTGCCAAGGATGGATCTGGGCCAATCGCCGGGCCACATTTTGCGGGGAGTATGGTTATAGCTTCAGTCGTGAGGTTAGTTTTGCCCAGCCCACTCCCGGTCGGCCCCGCCCGCCGGCGACTGCTAAATCTCAGCCCCGTCCCCCCAGCGGATCTGGCCGCTGGGGCAGGCGTGCAGTCAGTCGCCCTCCTCCCCCCAGCGTGGGGGGTGGAGATCGCCAGGCCCAAGGAGCAGCCTCAGGACCCCCCCGGAGGAAACGGCCATGGCGCCGCTGGCAGTCAGCAGCAGCAGCAACCGCCGCAGCAGCCGCCCGACCCCGTCAGTTTTGCTCAGGAGCACCTCGGCTTCCTCAGACGGTCGGGCCTCGACCCAGAGCATCTTCTGGTCAAGACGGCTACCCAGGAGCTTCAGCAAGCAAAGCGCTCAGCATTGTCTTCTCGCGGTCTTCAGGACCAGCTCGAAAGCTTGGTCGACCAGCTGGATTCGCAGAAAAAGAAGTTACAGAACACCCGTTCCGCCAACAACACGCTGTTGGACAATATTGCACAGCTCCTGGATCAGCACTCCAAGGGGGAACAAGAGATCCGAAGGTACGAAGGAGAAGTCAAGGCCCTTGAGGCCCAGTTGGCAGTCACTCGGAATGCAGCTGTCGCAGAGCAGTCAGTTCAAGCAGGGGTCCTCAGCTTTGTCCAATCTCACCTCCCCAGCCTCCCTGGCTATCAGCCCTCCCCCCAACTCCAGGGCCTCATGGAGGGGTTGGTCAGGGAACTTGAGCAGGCCAGGCAGCTCCAGCAGAACGCGGCGACAGCAGCAGCAGTAGCAGCAGGAGGAGGTGCACCCGCGACGGCGGCGGCAGCGGCAGCGCTGGCCGTACCTCCGCCCGCGGTGGGTGCTGCGAACGGCCCTCCGCCCGGCGCGAGCGCAGTGGGAACGGCAGTGGGAGCAGATGGGGAAGCAGAGGCTGGAGGAGGAGGAGGAGGAGGAGGAGGAGGAGGAGGAGGAGGAGGAGGAGGAGGAGGAGGAGGAACGGCAGCAGGAGCAGGAGCGGGAGGAGGTGGCCCACCTCCACAGCCAGCAGCAGCTGTCGCAGCTGTCGCAGCTGCCGCAGCAGCCTCTTCCCCCACAGCCTCAGCAGCAGCACCTTCTCAGCAACAGCCTTCACAGCAACAGCAAGTTCCAGGCCAGGCAGGTGGCGGCTCACCTCCCGATAAACCTGAAGAGTTGGCAGATCTCATGGATCAGACTGACCAGCCCAACAAGCGAAGCTTGGCGGCGCACCTCAATGCTTTGGTCTCTAGCTTGGAGGCCAACCCGGACTCAAGCGCCTCAAGACCCACCAGGAGGCACTCAGCAATCCCAGGCAGGATGGGTAACATCCTGAGCTTGGCGACTATAAACGGTAGTTGTTGGAGAACCATGAAAGATTTTGTCATTTCGCCTTTCTCGGCCTCGTCCAGCGTCATTCTCGCCCAAGAAGTTCGCCTCTGTCGACCAGAGGGTATCAGCACGGCGACATCATGGGCCAGCTCAATGGGCTGGCAGGCTGTCATTACACCAGCGACTGTGTCCGAGTGCTGCAGGCCTTCAGGGGGCACGGCCATTTTGATTCGAGCCGGCTTCGATTACGGTGTTCAGTCTGTTATTGTTCCTCACCTCGGCCGTCCTCATCGTTTGAGTGCAGTCGCCTTGGAAGCACCAGGGCTTGGTCAGGTTGCAGTGGTGTCTATTTACCTGTGCGACTCCGAGGGGTGTCTCAGCGAAGCGCCCAGCTGCTAGCAGCAGCGGGAGAGCTGCAGCAGCGATGCCAGATGCCGCTGCTAGTTGGAGGTGATTTCAACATCACTCCCACTACGTTGCTTCAGTCCGACTTCACGACCCGCGCCACTGTCAGAGTCCATAGCACTAGGAAGCCCACTCACATCGCCAAGAAGAGTCGATCTGTCTTGGATTATTTTCTCGTCTCTGAGTCGATGGACGAGCGAGTGCACAGCATTGAAATGCTGGATTTCCCTATGACCCCGCACCGAGTGGTGCAGCTGGAGTTGACTAGTGGCCAGTACTTCGTTCCAGTATTGCAGCAGCCTCAGCAGATCCCCAAGTCACTCCCCTACGGTCCCAGGCTTCCGGAGCTACCCTGGACAGAAGCAGCAGCAGCAGCAGCAGCAGCAGCAGCGATGAAGCAGGCGGAGGGGACTGTTTTCTTGGAGGACAGGTCGCCTCAGCGCACAGTCCTTCGGTCAAACAGGCAGCTTTGGATGCAGCCTATGAGGCCACTGTCTGGGACATGGAGAGGTCTTTGGCCCAGGACACAGACGCGCAGCTCAGGCTTCCGTCGCTTCGAGGGCTCCCACCCAGGATCAAATGGCTACCAGCTACCACGGTCCAGAAACATCACCAAAAATCTTGGGTTTGGGGTTGGCTGGCAAAGCCGTTGGTCTGGCTTCGAGGCAAAGTTCAAGACGCTCGCGCACGGTTTTCGGATCAATCCTGGAGTGGCCCGGGGGTTCGCGAAAATGAGGTCCAGTGGGCCCTGGAGGAGGTGCAAGACCCGCCCCAGCAGTTCAGCAGTTCAGGTAGTCTTCAGCAGTTTCTCGACTCGTATCGCAACGTCCTCATGGCTGTCGGCATCGATGCGCAGGCTGACAACCTGAATTCTGATCCAGGTGATCATGCTTTCAGACTTCTTGGGGGCATGGTGGACAGCACCAATCAGTGGAGGGACTGGGTCGCCACGGCGATGCAAGGAGGGACAGGTAAAGCACGCGCCTACTCCCGCTCCCCCGCCCCATGGCGGCCGCAGGCCGCTCAACACGGAGGGGGGTGGTCGGGGAGGCCCAGTCACATGTTGCAGGCCGAAGCGGGTCGGCTGCAGGAGCTCTGGCGGTCCCAGTCACACGAGGGCCCGATGTTCGAAGGGGGGGTCGAAAGATAAAGTCCTCGACAGTTTAACGCCCCAGCAGTTCAAATCCGCGGCCCTCACTTTCCCCGAGCGCGCCGGCATGACTTGGGATGGCTTGCACCTCGTTCATTTTTTCCATGATCAGTGACGAAGGCCTGCAGATTACGGCCTCTTTTTTCGCACTGGTCGAATCGCTGGGTACATTTCTTTCGTCTCTCAGAGCTGTCCTGACTGTCCTCATCCCCGAACATGAAAAAAGTGTTGGGGGCAAGCCGCAGTGCCGAGGAATCGGCATGTCTCCCATCCCCTATAGACTGTGGGCCCGTGCCAGACAGCACGTGGCCAGAGAATGGGAAAAAGGGCCATCGCCGGCCCTTCTTGCGTCGCCAATCAGGTCGATCAATCTGTGAGTTAGTTTATCTCCAGGCACTGCAGGCAGAGCGAGGACAGTGCGTCGAGCCCGTGCTGCACATGGGCGCTGTCATGTGGGACTTGTCTAACTACTGCGAGCACGTGGATCCAGATGTTCTTTTTGTCAAGGCCAAGAAACACAGCTTCAA